AGGAGAGTGGTTGGGTACTCCAGTTGATAAACAAAGGTTTGGACACACAGGCGCCATCTTGGCGACACATATCTTAAGATAGAATAGTACTAGAAGAAATAGAACAACGAATACGCCTCAGAATAAATGTATCAGAATAAATTTATTAGAACAAATAAATGCCATTTGTCTAGCGTAAAATCTGGCATAAATAAAAACCTTAGAAGATCAAAATGGCAGCATGTCCGTGTTTAAGGACACAGGAACTGTTTCCTTTGTCAACACTTGCTGGGCGGTCTGACGGTAACTCGATAGCCTAGACAGACCGTCTCAGACTAACTCACACGGCAGACTATGTTAGTCTTCAAACCATTCTGTGGCGGGGGGAAATTTCTAGAATTGACAGTAATCTTCAGACAAGATGAACATCTTATGGGAAATACAATCGGTGGAGCTAATTTGTTGATTCGGGGTCATTATTTATAGCACAAAGCTATTTTCAAAGGTTTCTTAGAGCTTTCTCCAGACGGCCAAATGTAAACTGAACAGTCCGCTAGAGATGAACGACCACGGAACTAAATGAACTAGGCAGGATGGACAGGAACTATGGAACTACACATGGAGGGTCTAGCAAGCTGGGGTCGCGCCAGTTTTGACCAGTGGTCTGGTGGCTAGAAGGGTTGGGTTCGGCTGGATTGTTGAAAGATTGCTCAAGTGGATTGAATGATTTTGATTTGCTAGAGCAAAAGTAAAGTTCCCTTTTTGGACCTGACGGTCCATGGGGCAGGTGAAGTAGAGTTTACCTGTTGATATGACCTCGGCTTTTGAAGGGACAGCACTTTGACCAGCCGCCTTTACTTTCCCTCACGTGAGATATTTGTTGTTTATTGCAATACTTTGTTGTTTGTTGGTTACAGATGTCAAGTGCTGCTACAGATGTCAAGTGCTGCTACAGATGTCAAGTGGTGCTACAGATGTCAAGTGGTGCTACAGATGTCAAGTGCTGCTACAGATGTCAAGTGGTGCTACAGATGTCAAGTGGTGCTACAGATGTCAAGTGGTGCTACAGATGTCAAGTGGTGCTACAGATGTCAAGTGGTGCTACAGATGTCAAGTGGTGCTACAGATGTCAAGTGGTGCTACAGATGTCAAGTGGTGCTACAGATGTCAAGTGGTGCTACAGATGTCAAGTGGTGCTACAGATGTCAAGTGGTGCTACAGACACAAGTTTGTCCAAGAATGAGTTGTTATACTGATGTTAAACTGACCAGCAGATATTGAAACACAACTTTTAAAATTCACCGACGTTGTTTGAATTTCAACCGAAAAAAAAAAACCATAAGGGAATTAACCCATTAATATTTTTTCAGCATTGAGAAAAATCTTGTGAAATATTCAAGACGATTTCAATAGAAAAGTTCAACAGGACCGAGGGTATGAAAGAAAGCTCGAACAATGTGAAATCAAAACTGAGATGACATTTGAGAAATTTGAAAGGTAAAACCAAGCACTTGTTCAAAGTTAAGTTGTTTACGTCGGAAGTTGACCATCATTCACAAACTAGGTCAGGCAGGGGACATAAATCTAGGTGGACAAAATATGTTGACCTCTAGGTGGACAAAATATGTTTAGACCTCTAGTTCAGGGTCCATAGCCAAATCCCAAAAGAAAATTCAAGGCTTTTTCAAGGTTTTCAAGGTGATTTTGGGGGGAATTTCAAGGTATAAACTACCACTAACGGGCATTACAATGAGGGTGATGTATGTTTTTTGCACACACAATTTTTGAAATAATTTTGGTGTTATTACAAAATTATCTAAGTCAGGAGATTGTCTGAGAGTCCAGCATAATCCCTTTTGCAATCAGTATCTTTGGTGTCAAATGACACTCCTCCAACTTCTATTTTCAGAAAAACCTCTTTCAACACTGACTTGACCATGTGACAGAAGCAATAGATCTCTAACAATTTTCCAAATGTTCACATAAGAAATTTTGCTACCAAGCTGTTCTATGAAAAAAATGTCCAGCCTATCATGTTCTCAATAAGATTTAGATAGACAACCATTTAGAGTACATGTATCTATGAATGTTGAAAATTGAAACAGAACTTGGTCACACTCAGCTGATTTCAGTTTCCATTTGTTGACTAGGATGTGAAGAATTCCCTTCATTTTTTTGGTGAACTGGCTCTATTTTTAAACATTTGCATTAGGCTAAGTCTCTCACTAATGACTAAAGTAATGGAGATTTCAACAAAAAATTTGATGAAAATCCTATCAAAGTTGTCTTACAGTCAGATTTGAAATTGAGAATTTGAAGCTCACTTGCTTTTTTTACTTTTTCTAGAGACTTTATTAAAGAGTCAGCAAAAAAAACAAAATTCAATTGAATGACTTGTCAATGTCAAGTGATAATCAGAATCAGGTCATTATACATAAAAGGAAGCATTGGTTCGTCTGTCTGATAGTCCTTTAAAAAGGACTCTGCACACATATTCCTTTAAAAAGGACTCTGCACACATATAGAAACAAAAAAAAACTAGCTATGCTTGTATAAATTATCCTGCTTAATGTCATAAATAACCTCACGCTTTTTAAAAGATTATTACCTCTCCCCCCCCCCTCCGTCACACATCACAAAAAGCCAGGCCCCGCCCTCTAAAATGACGTCACACCTCAGCCTATAACCCCTCCTACACCCCACCCCCCCCCTTGATTGCAGTTCAATTTTTCTTAAAATAGGGTTTTTTTTTTCCCAAAATCTTGTCTGAACTCTGTCAAAATAGAGTATTTTAATCAATTCCTTTTACAATTTATTAAAACAGTTTTCTAAAATGCTAAAATTCGTTTTCTAACATTGCTTTTTAATAATACAAAAGTGTGATGTCCCACGATCTGACCACCCCCCATCCCCCTCATCACACACCGTCACACGATTACGGATCCCCCCTCCCCTACGAGTGTGACGTCATTTATGGACGACCCCAATGTCCCCACCTATGATATACATGATGACGTAAAGAAATATCGTGTAAGTTTTAAGTTAGTTCATATCACGGAATAACAGAATTAAGTTATTTTTTTTAAACAATTTCACAAGTAACTACGCTAGTAATACTCATGTCAGAGATGTAGCCGCCCGACAAAGTGAAAAGCGGATTTTTTTTACAAGCGGATGGGAGGGGGCAGTGACAGCGGCAATTTTTTCAAACACGGTAATCCGAGGCTTCTTAAACATTTCAAGGACGTTTTACCACAGTAAAAATCAATTAGATCTAGACCCTGCTAGATGGTGTAACTAAATTATAGCAGACCTACATATTTTGTTCAATGACCTAAAACGATGCAGATATAGTTTTTGTTTTCGCTTTAATCTAGCAGTAAGCCCAATATTAAAGATAACCACGTTAAAATTAGACAAACAGCGTTTGTAGAACTGCCTTGACCGTGAGACACGACTGTGCTCGCGCGTGGTCTCGTGTCGTAGGTCTTACGGTCAGCGCGACCTTGAAGTGAGAGGTGGTAAAAAGTGTCCGTAAAGTTGAGTGAAAACAGCACAGTCATAGTCCTTCAAATTATTTTTCTTTTCTTTTGATAAATACATTTTTTTTTTACGTCGGCGCAAAATCTTTCCTTTTTTTAAGAAGACAATCGGCGATGCTAATGAGCTGGTAATGTTAGGATTTAGTTTTTTTTTTAATTACACAGCCTAGCGGTAGTCCATTGATGACGTCACGTAATTAATGCGAATTTTACCCCAACCTCTATCGTCATAAATAACCAGACAGCCACGTCAAGAATGACATCAAAAAGTTCTGTCTACAGCCTCACCCATCTGATACAGTCAATGTGTATTTGGTCCATAGCCCACGTGAGATTGACGATTACGTCATTTGCTATTGGTTTTTTTAACGAACGTGATAAATATGCCTATTGGTATTAGTAAATCTTGTTGGTTAATAGTTAAAAATCTAGATCAAGATCCACGACTATATTAATTATTAATATACTGCGAGGTCACTGTAAGTTGAGATAGACCTAGAAGACCTTCTAAGGTCGCAGTGACCGAAACATCTGCTATCGTGGGGTACACAAAGAACCGTGATTGATCTAGGTTCGTAAAAACGTGTCTTCTCGCACATCTAAAATAACAGAACACAATAATTCGATAAATTATGTCTCGCTATTTACCCGTAATTCCGCAGCTACGTTTCGCCCTTTTGTGTTTAACCTACACCGAGAAAATTTTAATTTAAATAAATAGAAACCTACGCTCGCATAGTTCAGGCTATTCTTTTTTTATTTAAACCTAAGGCTTATTTTCTTGAAGAAAAAATATTAGTTCTAGATGTAGGTTTAATTATAATCGAGATAATTTCCATGCGCGACCAGAATTTTAATGATTTAGGCCACATTCCAATTTTTTTCTTTACGGACATCACCGATCAGGAGACAACAGACCACTCGCGGGGTCAATAAAGTTCACAATATAAATAGAGCCAACGACTGCCGAGATATTGTCGGGAAGGGATTTGGGGGGGGGGGGGGGGCGGGGGGCGTCGATTGTTATGATTGAAGATGTTTGAAACCATAGAACCGGATAACACGGAAATTTAACACAAGAAAAAAAAAGGTCGACACTAAATCGATTTTGATGTTTACGGTGGGCTTTTGCGTAACATTTGCGGCCTAATTCCGCAACAGGGGTGTCAAAATCGAAAAATTACGGACAAAACCGTACAAGTAGGTAGGCCCTAACAGAAAACACTGAATCTAGATCTAGAATCTAGTAAACGGAGATGCCCGAAAAACGATGCTAAATTTAGCCCTCGGCTATCTACGTCACGATCTAGAATCTAGGTTAGGCAGAGCCTATGCAAAACCGCGAGGCTCAGCGAAGGAGAGGGTTGGAAATTGACTCCGAAGTTAACGCAGACCCACGGCAAAAAATAAATAAAGGCAGAAAAAGTTTAGATCCATCAGAATTGAATTTTTTTTTTAAATACGATTTACGCACGGTTTTCAAGGTTTACCTATAAAATTCAAGGGTTTTTTGCTCATTTTTGGGGAAATTCAAGGGTTTTTCAAGGCCTTGAGATGTTTTTTGGAATTCAAGGGTTTTTCAAGGATTCAAGGTCCGCTACGGACCCTGCCAAAGTAGTTTCTAAATCTAGGTGGACAAAAAAAATGTTGGGCTTGTTGGCTTCTTCACTGAAGCCCCAACTTTGATTGGGGATTTTGTAATTTTAATAAAACATTCACATTTAACATCAATCATTCAAAATTATCTCGCTACACACAATCTCACATCAACCAACATCCACTGTCCAACACACACCATAAACCATCCAACATACATCATCTTACAGCCACCACCTCTCTACCCCTCCCCCACCCACACACCACACACACCCATACACTCACCACACCCCCACACACACACACACCCAATCATCCACAATAACACACTCACCCACACACTCACCCACACACTCACCACTAACCCACTCTCCCATACAGAAACTTACACTCACTCACACCCACTCACCCACCACACACACACACCCACTCACTCACCCACACACCCAGCCACCCACACACCCACACACTCGCCCACACAGACACTCACCCACACCCACCCACAACATACTCACCCACACACACTCACACACACACTCACACACCCACACTCTCCCACACACCCACTCACCCAGTAGCTGTAGCCTAGAGACCAACGAGAGACTGGAATGGTTTTTTGAAAGTTCCGACAAGTCTGGGAACTGGCTGAACATTCGAACTTGTCCTGCAACAAAAACATTTGAGATTACAAGTCTGGGAACTGGGAGAACATTCAAACTTTGGAACAAAAGTTACAGGATTACAAGTTCGACAAACATGTAGATAGAACATTCGAACTTGTTCTGCAACAAGTGTGACAATGGTTAGTTGAATTATACATAGAAAAATAATCGAAGACTTACTGATGGAATAAAACATATACCCACACAGACCCACACAAGACCCACACAAGACTTACTGATGATATTGCTGGAGGGAAAGGTCACGTGGACGGTGGGCTTGACCTTGAGCCTGGACAAGCCCAAGGCCACAGAGACCAGTAGCAGGGAGCTGAAGGCCAGGAGCGGCACCACCCTCAGGCACCGGCGCCCCTTCCACTGGCGCCCCGGGGTCAGGGTCACACGCTGGCTCGTTTGGTCTGACCTTTCATTCGTCAGGTCATCTGGGTCAAAGGTCACTTGGCCAGGAACCTGGAAAGTCAAATAAGAATAAAAAATTACAGGGGTGTGTGTGGATGTGTGTGTGTGTGTGTGTGTGTGTGTGTGTGTGGAGTTACAGCCATAACCATAATACACATCAACAGCCGCAGCCATAAGCCCTAAAACATGATGTTAAAGCCGGTAATGACTTGACATATTTATGGCTGTGTGATTTGAAATTGAACCAATTGTGCCATTGTGGCGTGTCGGTTGGTACCGATTCAGTATATGGGTAAATAATTCGATGGGTAGATAGCTGGGTATAGACTCGCAGCTAGGAGATGATAGGTGAGATGTTCTTTAGACAGGTATTGTTGCAGTATGACATACCTGAGAGGAGGAGGGGGGGGGAGTGGAGTGAAACCAAACGGATACAGGTAAAAATAAACTACAGAACTGTTAGATTTTTTTCTAGCTACTTGATGGGTGCAGTACACTTTTCTATACAATCTATCTCTCTCTCTTTCTCTCTCTCTTATTCTCTCTCTCTCTCTGTATATATATATATATATATATATATATATATATATATATATATATATATATATATATATATATATATATATATATATATATATATATATATATATATATACAGAGAGAGAGAGAGAGAGAGAGAGAGAGAGAGATGACGACACATGTTAGAAGAAAACAGTGGCACAACATTAAACATCAGATTTAGATTATCTCCAGCTTAAGATAATCTCCACGAAGCTCCCTAAAGCTGACAAGACGAGTTGGGGGGGGGGGGCTAGAATATTTCTGCGGATCGTTACAAGACAAATTTATCGTTTGTGTACTCACCCTCTTTATGGCTGAACGTTTTGTGGCCGAGGCAGATGTTTGAGCAAACTTTGAACGATAACCCGAGTGGTTTCAGTTGGGACTGTCTTAACGGTCGTGTTATGGTAATCCCACCATAAAACCACCAGTAAAAACCCACCATAAAACCACCAAAAATACCTCCATAAAACCACAAAAAATACCTCCATAAAACCACCAAAAATACCTCCATAAAACCACCAAAAATACCTCCATAAAACCACCAAAAATACCTCCATAAAACCACCAAAAATACCTCAATAAAACCACCAAAAATACCTCCATAAAACCATCAGTAAATCCCACCAAAAAACCACCAGTATATCCCACCAAATACCGCTGATCCAGTTGAGCTAATCTTTTATTTTATTTTAATTATCAGCGGCAGGTAGGAAGTGAATGCTAATTAGTCCAGACCACTTAATGAACCACGACCAAGCACCTGTTATTTGCTCCCCCCCCCCACCTTTTCAGAATACACTGATAAAAAATTGTGTGGTGAGTGTGTGTGCGTTCGTTATCTAACAAAAATCGTGACGTCATTTCTTTAAATAAACAACAGTCAAACGGTTAAACAATTTTTAGGATAGCCAGTCACGTGATTAGAAATGTTCATGGTAGCCAGTCGGTGAACGGAAAAAAAGTCACAGTGTTTTTTTTTTCCTGTGACTTTTTTTCCTACAATCAGCCAGTCACGGGTGGCCCTAATGTCCAGATATTCCACATCAACTTTTAAAGTGACGGTCTTCCATTTATTATATTTTTTTACCCACCCATACCCCACCCCAAACTGACCCGATCGCTACCCCACCCCCCGCCCCTACCCCACCCCAAACTGACCCGATCGCTACCCCACCCCCACCCCTACCCCACCCAAAACTTACCCCACCTACCTCCCAGACGCTCTCATCCAAACATGCAATCGCCCCCCCCCCCCCATCCCAAGACATCTGGATATAATCATGAATAAATATTCATACCCTGTGTGTAACCAGCCCTTACACTAGAGGCACAAGATACGTTACTTTGATGGCGGTGGGGCCGGGGTGTGGGGGTCGGGGTGTGGGGGTCGGGGTGTGGGGGTCGGGGTGTGGGGGTTGGGGTGTGGGGGTCGGAGTGTGGGAGTTGGGGGTAGTGGTTGGGGATAAAGTTTCAGGAACTCCATTACTACACGTACAGCGCTAGTTTTATTCATTAGAAATTATGTCGACCACTTCAGTATACGGCTAATTATTATGCTAATTAGTCACTGTCTATTATTATTATTAGTCATGAAGCCATGACAAGTTGTACACATAAAATATCGTAGACTGCAATAGATGGAATCGCCAGTGTAGGCTAGCACCAATGTTGGTCTGGGTCTGTGTCCCCACACGTTTGACTACAATAAAGAAAAATCCTCATCTGAGAAAACTTTCTTTAACTTGTCGGCGCTAGACTTGTATGTCTGCAGGGGGGGGGGGGGGGGGTTACGATTTCATAACTTGATATGATTTGATTATAAAAGCATCTTTTAACAAACCATTTTCTGAAATTTCTCAGAATTTTAACCAGGTTCCGAACCCACGACCTGAGAGATTTGTCTGAAGTTCTAGCACACAGCCACCCCCCATGATGAACGAAGAGTCCCCCCCCCCCCACCTGTCTGCAGGAATAAGTTATAGCTTCCACCTCCGTGACTGTAATTAAAACCCCATTAGATTTTACTGCCTTAAAGATGGTGGCCAACGAAGCGTGAATATCTCCCCCCTCCCCTAAAACTAGCTAACAAAAGCCCCGGATATACGAGAGGAATGTTTCACTCAACGCCGTCATACAAACTGTACTTTGGTTTTTTTGTACCACATAATCATACAGCTTTATGTGATATATTGTTGGAGAGGGGGGGTGGGTGGGATCGTTGATAAACAGTGGAGGTGTCACTGATATCGATTGGGGGTGGGGGGTGGGGGGGGGGGCTCATTCATACGTGGCTTCATTGTTACATTTCAGGTTTGGTTGATAAATTCTTTGGCGCATCAAATAATTGTCATATAAACTGTACAGGGACTGGCTAGGGTGGAGCCCAACACTGGTACTGTCCCCCCACCCAACCCCCCACTGGTTCTGTGACCCCCCCTCTCTGGTAGTGTCCTCCAACCCCCCCCCCCCCCACCACCATTGGTATTGTGACCCCCTACCCACCCCACCATTTTATCTGTGTCTCCCCCCCCCCCCACTGGTACTGTGACACCCCCCCCCACCCCCCACCCCCACATCCACACCATAAAAGGACTAAAAGTGCTATCTTTGATGTATTTATAAGCACACGCATTAGCCCGCCCCCCATTAAAGACAATCCCACTCCTGCACGCAATGTGGTTCTACACAGATGGCGTGTAGGGTCCACGCTTTCAAGTCTTGCTGTATTACGTCACACACAAGAACACACACACACACACGGTTAGTGCCACACACATACACACTGCTAGGTTCACACATACACACACTGCTAGGTACACACACACACACAGGTCCACACACTGATACAGGTACACACGACTACGTCAGCGACGTTGTCTTTAATGAACACATCCAATTAGATCGACGTGTTTGGACCAGACGAGACAATTTGAGTCAAATTTTACGGAATGACACAAATCAATGAGACATGTCACTCGTGAATTTTACGTGGGTACCCCATAGTTAGGTGGGTACCCCATAGTTAGGTGGGTACCCCATAGTTAGGTGGGTACCCCATAGTTAGGTGGGTACCCCATAGTTAGGTGGGTACTCCATAGTTAGGTGGGTACCCCATAGTTAGGTGGGTACCCCATAGTTAGGTGGGTACCCCATAGTTAGGTGGGTACCCCATAGTTACATGGGTACCCCACATTTACGTGGGTACCCCATAGTTACGTGGGTACCCCACATATACGTGGGTATCCCATAGTTACGTGGGTACCCCACATTTACGTGGGTATCCCGTAGTTAGGTCCCCAGAAAAAACCCGAAAACTAAAGACGTGCTTTAGCGAAGTCACAGCCAGAGACGTTCAGATGGTTTTAAAATATCCCATAACTTACACATCCAGATGTCAAGTAACAAGTTGTTCTAATCATGCTGTGGTGATGTTGTCATCACAGGACACCAAGATGTCACGTGGTGTTTACATGCAGACCCCACACCCCCCCTCCCCCGACTGACATACCAACTCTAGACATTTATTTAAGCAACGACCCCCGGCACCCCAATAAATCAAAGACTTTAAGCGCATACCCCTCAAATAGCTCGACCCCGACCACATTGCCCACCCTTGAGTAGATTGACACCTGCTACATGCCCCCCCCCCACCCCACCCCATAAATCCTAGGCGACAGATGAAAACAATCGACGATGACAATGTTTATCAACAGCCAGCGTAGATTTGCCCTCTAGAACCGATTTAACAACACTCTTCAGACTTTATCCCCACAAATGGCTGGAAATATTTTTTTCATGGCCCAAGCCAGTAGTCACAAGTTGAGAATAGACGCAGGGCTAGAGCTGCTTCAAGTAGATCTACTTCAAGTAGATGATACTTAAGAACGCCAGAACTGGACGTGGAATTGGGCCATTTGTCAACAAGATTTATAAGGGTGTGGGGGGGGGGGGGGGACAGCAAGCTACAGGTGGTCGTCTATATATAGCAGGTGTGCTGATGATATTATTGAGGTGTCTTTAGGTGAGACTGGCATGGGGGGGGGGGGTGGTTCGTCACGTGATTGGCATGGGAGTGGTTCGTCACGTGATTGGCATGGGGGTGGTTCGTCACGTGATTGGCATGGGGGTGGTTCGTCACGTGATTGGCATGGGGGTGGTTCGTGAAATACCTCAAGCTCCTACGATGTAAAGCAACAATTTTTACACCGTTTTACACACCATGATTACATTTGAACACTTATTTAACTGGTATTTACTTTCAGCGGACGGTCAACAGACTAACTACAACATGAGGTAGGAGATTATTAACAGACTCCGTTGTTTTGGTCAGATGGTCAAATTTTGTGTTCTCAGATCGTCCATTATTTTTGTCAACATTTAATCACTAAAGAACTGAACAATAAATCTAAACAGATCTTGAATGAAACAACATTTAATCACTGAAGATCTAAACAGATCTTGAATGAAACAACATTTAATCACTGAAGATCTAAACAGATCTTGAATGAAACAACATTCAATCACTGAAGACTTGGCGTGATGCCAGCATTAGCGCCGTACGACGGCAATCATTCATACGTCGGTGATCAAAACTCGATACACGGCACCGCTGACAATAGACTGAGCTAGACGTAGCCCCCACCCCCCACCCTACAAATACTTTCTCTCCCCCCCCCACCCCCTTGGCACGGTCCCTGAAGCACGGGTCAATAGATCTGTCTCAGTGACAAATTCTTTACTGCTAGAACTGTTTTCACACAGACACGATTGGATACACCAGTCGTAAGTAATCTCCCTACCCCCCCCCCCCTCTCGTGACGGTAATACGTCAAAATGTCAACCCATGGAGTCGGGAGGGGGGGGGGGGGGTAGGGTGGGGGGTGAGATCTGGATCAGAATTATTAAACACGAGCCGGCCCGCGGCATAACATACGCCGCTATTTAGTTGTTTCTAATTTTCAATAATTCATAGTTTGTGAATTCGACAGTACCAACGCTGACACTGAAAATATTTCTTTAAAACACTATAAGTAGCTCGTTAAGGACCATAACCCCCCCCCCCCCCTCCCCCCCCCCCTACGTTTAAAATCGTTGGCTCTGCTTGTAAACATTTAGAGTGAACACAGCACACTAAAACCATGTAGGGGTGGGGAGGTAGGGAGAGCGTTTGCAGCTTGTTTTCTAACGGCTCGAAGAGGAGAATTATATATATAGATAGATAGATATGAAATGTTTGTCGACACAATCCTAGACAAACCAAACATATGAAACTAGGCATGCTGCCCAGCTTCGCTTAGGCTTTCGAAAACATTGAGAATTTGAATGCTTAATTAATTCGCCCATATAAGGCGCCGGTCAGTCGAGGTCAGTTTTGACCGGCCCCCGTGTTCTGTCGCCCCAAGGCAAGATCCTGCCAAATTTGAAGCGCCTACGGCGCCGGGAAGTGCCCTATCGGGCACCCGACAACTTAGCTTTATAGATCATCTAGATCTAGATCTAGAATCTCTAGATCTATATTGATCTAGAATCTCTAGATCTAGAATCCAAATAGATAAAATAAATTTTTTAAGTTTAGGCCGAGAAAATCGTATTGTATACATTTCATAGCGTAGGTCTACATAGCTCTAAACCATATTTGAATGAAATAGTTCATTTCTTTTTATTCTAAACTCGGAAGATGACGTCATCAGTTTCGTGCTCTTTTTTTAGTGTAAACAATAAGCGACGTCATTGTTAAATGCGTTCTTGTCCCAAGTTTATACACTTTTCCGGTTGCATAAATATTACTGTTTCTCTACATTCGAATACGCCTTTATTTTTTATTTTTCTTCTTTAAATAAAATTGTGGTTATACATTTAAAACATCTAACATATTTTTTTTCAACAAAAGTCCGTATAAAGGTATCCATATATCGCTGCCGATTCTGACGTGATGTCCGGCGAAAATATTTTGCGGACAGAGAGAAGAGCGCACATGGCCTTTTATATATTAGGATAGTCTAAATAATCCTAGACAAACAAAACATATGAAATTGTCGACACAATCCTAGACAAACCGAACATATGAAATAGTCTAAATAATCCCACCAGTGAGATACTGATTAATGGTTGATGATAGGGTGAGTGGGGGGGGGGGGTGTTTAGTTTTGAGAATCCTTGACGACTGTAACATAGGTGCAAGTTGTTGGTGCACGTTGGTGCAAATTGTTGGTGCATTCTTTTGCGTTACACCAATTGTACAAACACCAAACCCTTCAATTTACGTTCGTTCAGTACCTCAACACTCGAATCTTAGTTCAATACAACTATGACGAGTACAAGTTCTATACAGCAAATGATACTTTGTATAGAACAGATGTTCGTTCATGGTTCCGATTTTGTTTAACGTCTTGTGTTGTCCTGTGTCATTTGATTGGTTGATTGACCCCGCTCTACGGCACTTCACATTCCGGGATTTAAAGACCCATTTCAAATTCATTCACCTCTAGTTTAGAAGACCTTATTTCACATTCAATCACCTCTAGTTTAGAAGACCTTATTTCACATTCAATCACCTCTAGTTTAGAAGACACTATTTCACATTCAATCACCTGTAGTTTAGAAGACCTTATTTCACAAACCACTGAACAAACATTGGACGTCACACAATAATAACAAACAGAAACTTCTAGAAACGTATCCCTAATTTAGACAGTGACGCGACTATAGAAACAAACACATAATCTTGACACCATACATTCTAAAGTAACACATACATTGACAGTAACATATACATTGGATACGAATATACACACATAAACATACAATCACTCAACATAGAGGACACACTGCACAAAGACGGCCAACATACAAAACAAACATACACATAAATTGCTACGATATTGCCGTGATGTGTCCCATAAAAAAAAACACCCGATCTATTTTGGTGACTGTCGATACTAAAACACGGAGAATAAACGACAGAAATGCCAGAAAAAACTCTCCCAACAAGGGCCATAACTGGTTGCAAACTAGGGGAGACAATCTACCTTTTCAAGTGTCACGAGTCGTCTGCCATTTAATTGATCAAAAACACGTTTCCATTTCTGCTTGGCTGAACAACAACTTCACACAAGCGATACCGTGGAGCCTACCTTGGTCATAGTGTCCCGTTCGGCCGAATTTAAATTCTCGACTTCTCTCCTTGTTTGTGGCGATATTAATCCTTGCTTAGCATTCTTTGTATTGTCTCCCTTCCTTTCACGAGTTTCTTCCCTTTGACAAGTGCCATTCCCCTGCAATAAAAATAGCACTCAATACATTTGGTGGTATAAAATTAGAGCACTTTGGCACATTAAGTTTTGTCTAAAGAATTGCTATACATATATTTAAAACACACGTGTACTTTATATATATACACGCATATATATATATATATATATATATATATATATATATATATATATATATATATACCTAAAGTAGATGCATAATAATCCACAATTACAAACAATAAAAATATTCTATGTTAGGTTAATGTTTAATCTATCGCCATAAAACAAGATATACCGGAGCTGTGAAACACATCGGAAATCTAAATCCTTATCTTAATCCTTATCTTAATCCTTATCCTAATCCTAAACAATATCATAGAGCCTTACGTAGCTCGACATTGCGATAAACGTTGTCCTTGACACGTGTACACACATACACACTACCAGGTACACACACACACACACGCACACACAAGACATTACCCATAAGGAACTATTTCGTTCATCATTTATAATGAACACATAACTTACAAGATGGCGGTGTAACGATTGTTGAAAGAACGTGTTGAAGGCAATTAATTAGCAATCACATCGTGTGGTAAATGAACTACAACATAAATATCTAAATGTAATAATCTTTACACGGCATGAATGCTGTTGAATTGCCTTCTTTAATAGATACAAGTTGTTCCATATTCTCCATATTTCACATTCTTGTAATTAGTCATACACATTTCATGAAAGCGGGTGCGCCTCCCATTAACATTTCATGAAAGCGGTTACGTCCCCTTTCATTAACGCTTCAATGTCCGTCCCACAAGGGAGGCAAGCAGAAGATCAAAGTAAAACAAGGGCGATAACTTCTCACTTCAACAATACCAATCGTTCGCCTGATTACCATCAATTGGTACACACGAATCAAAAGAGCTATTCGAGTTTTAATTAGAGAAACTTAAAAGCTACTGACACATGCAAGTGTCAAAGTTATTCGTTGAAACTTGGATGTGTTGACGTTAGAGTAAATTACAACAGCTAAGTTTTGAGTGAATGTACACGAGCTAAGTTGTGACAAAATCGACGTACATCTTGCAGATGGTGGAGCAAAGATGTTGTAGTTGTATTGTGTGTTGCATGTTGTTATTTTGTGTGTTGCATGTTGTTATTTTGTGTGTTGCATGTTGTTGTATTGTGTTGCAGATAGCTGTTTATTTTAATCTGTAACAGACATTAGTTGGGGGTTGGGCATTTTGATAGCAATTGGAGCCTTCGGATAAAAGCGCAGAAAAAAATACACATCAAGATAAAACCATTTTGCGATCGCATGAAATTCACGGCTTAAATTTTATTGTTTTCATTCGCAACTTTGTTTTTATAAAATACTTTTATCTCCCCCCCCCCCCTCTCAACTCCCTTCACACAAAGAAATCACATTTGATTGAAATTTTATGAAAACTTTTTTTTGGTAGGCTGACTACGTCGTTAGATAGCGAGGTAGGCTGACTACGTCGTTAGCTAGACAAATGGGCTGACTACGTCGTTAGCTAGCGATGTAGGCTGACTACGTCGTTAGCTAGCGAGGTAGGCTGACTACGTCGTTAGCTAGTCAAGTGGGCTGACTACGTCGTTAGCTAGCGAGGTAGGCTGACTACGTCATTAGCTAGTCAAGTGGGCTGACTACGTCGTTAGCTAGCGAGGTAGGCTGACTACGTCGTTAGCTAGCGATGTAGGCTGACTACGTCGTTAGCTAGCGAGGTAGGCTGACTACGTCGTTAGCTAGCGAGGTAGGCTGACTACGTCGTTAGCTAGCGAGGTGGGCTGACTACGTCGTTAGCTAGCGAGGTGGGCTGACTACGTCGTTAGCTAGCGAGGTGGGCTGACTACGTCGTTAGCTAGCGAGGTGGGCTGACTACGTCGTTAGCTAGCTGTGTGATTTTATTGTCCCCTAACACAAGCACACGTGTAAGGATAGCGGCTGTTGTTGTAGAGGGGATTTTACAAAGTGACAATTGCAAACATTGACTGAATGTTGATTGGAATATTTTAGATGTATGCCTTAAATATTGATATGGATAATTTAGATAGTATGTTGTTGATGTTGGTGTGTGTGTGTGTGTGGTGTGTGTATATGTGTGTGGTGTGTGTATGTGTGTGGTGTGTAGTGTGTGTGTATGTGTGTGGTGAGGGGTGATAAGATTTTCTAGTATCAAGCACTTGTTATAGAGGAGACTTCCGGGATTGTAAAAATACTTGAACTCTCTCGTGGGAGGAGATAAGGTGAGGTGAGATTTGTTGAGGTGAGATTTATTGAGGTGAGGTAAAGTAATATTAGGTAAGGTTATGTGTTGTAGCTAAGCTGAGGTATGTGAGGTAATGTTTGGTGAGGCAGATTCAAAAACTGCACACCACACACAAGACAACAGCCACACACCACATAAAAGACAACAGCCACACACCACATAAACGACAACAGCCACACACCACATAAAAGACAACAGCCACACACCACATAAAATACGAGCACAGAGATCGAGCAGTTTAAAAATGTGTTTTTTCACAAACCACAACGAAACCACATAACAAATAAACATCTCTCTACCTAGACATGCCGACCCCCCCCCCCCCCCCACCGTCAGGTAGAGCCATCCGTCAGGTACTTGCACATTTTTATTGATCACGTGATCGCAATAAACCCCAGCAGGCACGTTAGCCTGTGATATTGTTGGCATACCCCAGGCCTGGATCTCCCCTAATCCCCCCAACACGACAGCTGGATTAGCAATTAAAACACCGCCCTTACCTGACACAATGGAGCCTAATTTCACAACAGCTCAATTAATGCGTGAGGACGGCACACAGGTAAGGGGGAGGCCGTGGTGCCCAGGTGTTGGTGCCCAGGTGTTGGTGCCCAGAGAACCCGCAGAAATCAGACGGTATCCGCAGGAGACTGAACAAAACACACTTTATTCCACACAGGTTGAGGTGTTAACTAAACCCAGGCCGAGAGAAGCCAACAGAAACGTCACCTACACACACACCTCCCACCCCACCCCACCCCACGACACACACCCATTCATAAAAATATACACATGCTAGATTTGAACCGGGAATACCCGTTAGTGGGATTTAGAGCGAAGCAGTTTTGACGGTCTGAATTATGTGGTACCAGTAGTCTCGCACTTTCTTTGGTGGGTGGCTAGCAGACGATACATGGGTGTACTGGTGACTAATATCAATACTGGGTGTACTGGTGTCTGGTATCGATACAAGGGTGTACTGGTGTCTGTCTAGTATCGATACAAGGGTGTACTGGTGTCTGTCTGGTATCGATACATGGGTGTACTGGTGTCTAGTATCGATACATGGGTGTACTGGTGTCTGGTATCGATACATGGGTGTACTGGTGTCTGGTATCGATACATGGGTGTACTGGTGTCTGGTATCGATACATGGGTGTACTGGTGTCTGGTATCGATACATGGGTGTACTGGTGTCTGGTATCGATACATGGGTGTACTGGTGTCTGGTATCGATACATGGGTGTACTGGTGTCTAGTATCGATACATGGGTGTACTGGTGTCTGTCTAGTATCGATACATGGGTGTACTGGTGTCTGGTATCGATACATGGGTGTACTGGTGTCTGGTATCGATACATGGGTGTACTGGTGTCTGGTATCGATACATGGGTGTACTGGTGTCTAGTATCGATACATGGGTGTACTGGTGTCTGTCTAGTATCGATACATGGGTGTACTGGTGTCTGTCTAGTATCGATACATGGGTGTACTGGTGTCTGGTATCGATACATGGGTGTACTGGTGTCTGTCTAGTATCGATACATGGGTGTACTGTTGTACGGCTACTAGTAGATATAAAGATGTATTGAAGTTTGTGGCTACCTGTGTTAGTGTGGCTACCTGTGTATATGGCTACCTGTGTGTTTGTGGCTAACTGTGTTAGTGTGGCTACCTGTGTATATGGCTACCTGTGTGTTTGTGGCTACCTATGTGTTTGTGTGTTTGTGTGGCTACCTGTGTATATGGCTACCTGTGTGTTTGTGGCTACCTGTGTTTGTGTGGCTACCTGTGTTTGTGTGGCTACCTATGTGTTTGTGTGGTTGCCTATGTGTTTGTGTGGCTACCTGTGTTTGTGTGGCTACCTATGTGTTTGTGTGGTTGCCTATGTGTTTGTGTGGCTACCTGTGTTTGTGTGGCTACCTATGTGTTTGTGTGGTTGCCTATGTGTTTGTGTGGCTACCTGTGTTTGTGTGGCTACCTGTGTTTGTGTGGCTACCTATGTGTTTGTGTGGTTGCCTATGTGTTTGTGTGGCTACCTGTGTTTGTGTGGCTGCCTATGTGTTTGTGTGGCTACCTGTATTTGAGTGGCTATACACACCTGCCTAGATGCACACACGTGTGAGTACTGACACACACACATCTGAACAGACACACCTTACTATTGAAACAAACATTTATTTTCCATTGAACACAAATCTAGTTAAGCCTGAGATTAGGTTATTCTAGCTGACACAACAAATATCAAACAAAATTTCAGTAACAAAACAGGTTTAAATTTTTAAAAAATATTTTAACCCAGAAATATAACAAACAATAAACCGGGAGTAATCTCCCCTAACCTTTCTCGAATATTCTTATATAACACTACGGGGGATGGAAACTTGGAATATAGACATGATTTTTAATCCATTTTATATACTTAAACTTTTAAAAATAGAAAAGAATCTCGTAGAAAAAAGAATTGCGCACCAAAAGAACGCCAAACAATATGTGCATAATAGTATTATAATATTATTAGTACTTTATAAATTCCACTGCGTTTTTTTTTCAGTAAATTACTACTTCCGGTCAACGGAAATTACTCAAAATTTGTCAGAATGCAGAGAATTAGATCTTTTACTTACATGTGAAATTCGATTGAAACAGTACTTAAGTTATAGGCTTTTGTAAAAAAACTAAAAGCAGAATAAGTTCCACTTCCGGTTACATGAAATCGCTGAAAAG